GTACCGCGGAGGTTCTGGCAGGTTATCCTGGACGGCGACGAGTTTTTGGTGTGGTGCAGGCGTGCAGCCCTTTAAACAGATGGCTCAGCACACTTGACTTTCGATGCTTTCCATTTTCTGCCAAGTACAAGAAGTGTGGCCAGCTTTTGTTGACCAAGTCAAATTGGCCCATGATCTAGGAATTTAAGTGGTCAACCATTTGAGCCACATTTGAAAGATAAGTACCGTACAATTTCCTCAATATAATTAATATGTGGAAATGTTTGACTAAAAAAATCATAAGCTGAAACACTTGAAAAGATAAATTAAGTGCTATAATTGTTTTTAGGGAAAACTGTCAAATAGGTCCTCGAACTTTCATAAAAAGGTCAATTAAGTCCTTCTATAGGAGGTTCTGTCCGGCCGTCGCGATTTGGGGCAGTTCCCGGTGGAATTTTTTGATGAATTTTTTTGAGCATCTTATTCACCAAGTCTAGTTTACTCATACCAAATTTCAGCTAAAAATTCAATCGGGAACACATTCAAATTTATTCTTGAAGATAATTGCGCATTTTTGCGTTCTCGAATTAATTTGAATGCCCTCCCGATTAAATTTTTAGCTGAAATTTGGTATGAGTAAACTAGGCTTGATGAATAAGATGCTCAAACAATTTCATCAAAAAATTCCACCGGGAACCGCCCCAAATCGCGACGACCGGACAAAGTCTCCTATAGAAGGACTTAATTGACTTTTTTATGAAAGTTCGAGGACCTATTTGACAGTTTTCCCTTGTTTTTACTCTTTTCAAATGTGTGTAATTTTAACATTGAAAAACGGACTTATGAAATCCGATCACTCACGTACACCGGACGAGCACACACACTCGTACAATGGCTGAGCACACACACTCGCGCCACCGGATCATGTCATATGGGTGTGGCGATTAATAAGCTCCAATATAAATGTTAATACCGCACACTCTTGATTTCATATGAGTTCTCACGTGCTCTTACCCCTTTCCAGTGCATCGCACTCCGACCTCGGGGGACGTGTCGCCCGTTCAAAAGTCTTCACTTGCGGGTTCGAACTACTAACCTCGGGTGACGAGTTAAACTCTTGTTAGGGGCTTAGAGTCACGCTCCTCCGAGCAATTTTGTCACTTAATTGACATTCACATTTCCCGAAAAGGTTGATATACTTTAGTTCTGTGGGGTTGGATTATTCGTTCGAATGGTGACTCCGAGTCACTTACTTGCGGATTCAATCTTCCCTTTCGGAGACTAAGTTGAGGCCTAACTTGGGAACTTGATGTCACTCTTTTCGAGTAGTGAGTCTGACTCACTTACTCACTGAGTCGTGGTTCAGCACAGGGTCAGATGTTCTATTCTACATTTGTTGCTTTTATGTGTAGGTACGAGTGAACGAAGACGAGCCTGATGAGTCCGAGCCCAATGAGAAGAAAGGTTCTAGCCATCCGCTTCGCTGATGGTGACCATTGCAATAAAGGCTGAAGATTTCACCCTTTGCTTCATATTGGGGGCATCAGGTGTACTTTTTTTTCCTTCATTAGGATTTTTTCCCATTGGGTTTTTTCCTAATGAAGGTTTTTAATGAGGCATCTCCCCAACATGGACAAGGGCGGAGATCTTCCAGTCTCGGAGAACGGCAGCTGACTTGGACTACTCCCTCTTAGCCGAGTCTACTACTCGACTAAGGGAGTGGGGGACTCGTGATGGAGTTATGGGACTAGGCCCAGAGCCTAATCAGCCCAAGCCCCGAACTTGGACCCGTGGATCCAGGTCTACAACCTGGAGCCTGCCTACCATCCCAACCGGGAGCCTGCCCGTCCGGCCGACCTGCCAGCCAGGAAAAGTAACGGTCAAGCAATTAATGTGCTGTTTAATTATGTATTTAATTCTGTATTAATGTTGTAATTAATTAGTCATTATTAGCGAATAACAGTTGCGATTTGTATACACCTATAAAAGGCAAGTTGTAATTCAGATTAGGGAGAACAATTTCTACATGCTATTTCTGGCTATCAAACTCTCTAGCTACTTTCCATATTCGTATTACTTTCTACTTTCCTGCTTGAGTGTCCTTTCGTAGCTTTCCTAAAAGCCTACGAGCGTCCTATTTTGGACCAACATTATTAATTAAAATATTGGAAAATTATTTCTACCTTGTCTATGGGTTTAGAAATTAATTTAAACCAACCATTTTAAGCACATTAATGACACCTAGAAATAGGATAAATTAATGAAAATAGTTTCTATTCTTGTCTATAAGGAAAGAAATTATTAGTCCAATTTTAGTTTTAATTTCCCCAATTAAGAGGTCCAAGAACATATCCATTTCTAATTACTCAATTCATTGCCCTTATTTGCATCAATCTTTAGAACACTTAATTTTTAAAAACATTAATCTTTAAATTGAACCTAGCTCTTAGTTATAAACTGGCATCATTTAGAACACAACCCCTTTCCTATATTGAAAAAGCTTCCAACGATTAGCGATAGCCCGTGACTAAAATTAAATTAAGAAACTTTTCCGCTATTCCTCAAGAGACACGATACTCGGGGAAAAACAGAAAGGTTAGACTCCGTTTTACTACAACGCCGCGAAAGCGGTTATCAGTATTATTATGCTTGGTTATGACTCAAGTTCAAAAGTGAAAAGCCTATAGACTTTAACAGATACGCCACCAGCATCTCCAGAAGCTCTTACACCGTATATATCAAGTAACCCCTTCTGCATCGGAAGTAGTAGATGGTGGCGACCTATGGAAGAGACCCCTGAAAGCGCTGGTTCAGTTGGGCCACGAGGTTTCAGTAGCATCCAGGAGCTTATGGATATAGCTATTTAGGCTTTTAGGCTTCCATTTCTGATTGTTCATTTTAATAATGTAGGGTGGAACATACGAGACAATATCATCACTATCCTCTGAGTCCGTATGATCATGGTTGGCGTCCCCGGGCTATCTTCATGCTCATCCTCCAATTTTTTAGCATATTCGTTGATATGCCGTCCTTAGTAGCCACCACGACAAGATTTGTGTTATTTTCTGGCTCAACAGCCTTCTTTACATCTAGTGTGGGAATAGGTGCTTCCCGGGGATTTTCATAGTTAGGATGTTTTTACTTGGACTGTAATTTGTTCCAGACCAGACCAGACCAGTTCAGACCAGACCAGACCAGCTCAGACCAGACCAGACCAGACCAGACTTGGATAGTTATAAAAATACAAAGAAACCAGACCTTACCAGACCAGACCAGTTCAGACCAGACCAGACCAGACCAGCAAATTACAGTCCAAGTAAAAACATCCTTATTCTTCAAAAAACCTCTTCTGTCACTTTAGTAATTCCAAATCTTTCCCTACAATCTTCTCGTTGTTATTCACTTCCTTCTTGGCAAGCTTTTTGCAAATAAATGGGTGGTGCCCATATTCTTTACAATGGAAACAAAAATTAGGGAAAGTTTCGTATACCACCATTTGTTTGAATACCTTTTCAGAAAGGTAAACGTATGGGAAATGATAGCGGTGGTGGCTTTGAAACATCAACCTCGATTAGCACTCTAGCAAAATGGTGGTTAGTTTTTTCCTCGGCAACCTTGTCTTTAGTTAATGGGACAACAACCATAGATGTTATTTCGCTCATAGCCTCATCATTCCAAAGCTTAAACGGTAGATTCGGGAATTTAACCCAAATCGGTACCTTTCAAAATTCATCATCATCAAAGGAGAAATCATCAGAAAGTTCCATAAGCTTAATGGTTTCCCAAAAATATTATACGGCCCTTCATTCGGTACTTTAGCTCTATCAACCTCATTTTGAAATTTGAAAATGACACTTAGTCATGGACTTGGGTCCGGGTCGGGCCTCGGCCCGGCTGGGCCTAATTTTTTTTTATTGTGGACCCGAGACCGGCCCGGTGGTTAGCCGGTTACGGGTCGGGCCGGGCCACCCGCCCGGGTCGGGCTGATACAATTTTCTTTCTTTCTTTTTTTCCTACTTATTTCTACAAATGTTGCATATTAAAAACAAACTTCAAGTGCATTTATTTGAAATAAGAACTACATTTGAGAATTGAGAAAAAAATTACAATATGAAATACATTTTCTAATAGTTTTTTTTACCCCCACCCCACCCGCCACCCACCCCCAACCCCCCAAAACCCGGGACCTCCCCCTTTCCCCTCCCAACGGCTATATAGCCGTTTGGGAGCCCTACCCAACGGCTAGGGACTTGTTTGACTGCATGAAATATTTTTTTTAAAAAAAATTTGACTTGTTTTCGGTCCCAGACCAGATCAGACCAGACTAGACCAGACCAGATCAAACCAGACCAGACATCCGTAGTTATAAAATGCACAGAGACCAAACGTTTACCAGACCAGATCAGACCAGACCAGTTCAGATCAGACCAGACCAGTTCAGATCAGACCAGACCAGATCATACCAAACCAGACCAGACCAGACCAGACCAGCAAATTTCAGTCCAAAAAAACATCTTAACTGCCCAAGTTTAGCGGATTCAGATCCTCTGCCGTGCCTTGGCAGAAAGTCCCACGCTAGTAGAACCCAGAGTGGGGAATTCATCGTCCAATCCATCAAGCAAATTGAAAGAAGCTTTGGACCTGGTAACCCGTCCCGTCTTTGAGACGTTTCCCCATTTTTTTTTTGATAATCCAGGTGTCGGTGCTTGCGCTCCCCTAATCCTGGAGTCTATTGACTACCCTCCAAAGCCTTCTAGACAAGTAAATCCGGATATGATCACAGTCAGCTTCGTCGGTACTGGTACTACAGGACGAATCCAGCAGGACTTCTTTCAACTGAATGCAGAAGGGTTTTATTGGCCATTCAACTGAATCCACAGAAGGGTCCTCCCACCACGCGAACCCGAGCCTGAATTTCCATCCCCTCCCTTCTTAGCCGCTGAGCAACTCCATGAAAGTAGGAAGAATCATTGGGAGCAACACCCCCTCTCCCCTAATGTGTCTAGCTGGAATCAAGAGACCTTGGCTAGACGCGGTAACCTTTCTTCCGGTGGACTGGAAAGCTCGGTTACGTTTCCCCATTATTCATCTTCTTCCATGCCATAAACTCAAACAACAGTAGTCGCCCACATTCCAAGCAAACAAAACAATCAGGTCTTCTGTGCGTCGAGCATCGAGCTACGTTGGAAAAGCGTACTGAGAACGATGAACAGTGTCCGACCTAGATAACAGCTAAACAACCTTTCCCCTACTCAAGAACAGGGCCAGTGAGTTCGTCTAAGGAAGATAAATTACACATAGACCAAAGAATCCAGCAACAAACACTTAAATCAATCCTGAAGGGAACAGGAATTTCCGCCATTTTGCCGTTGGATTGAGAGGTTTTGGCCGTGATTCAGGTTACAAAATTCAAATCCAGGCTTGGAAATGAACTCAGGTGTGAAGAGCGACCAAGACAACCCAAGAATCCGAGTTCAATCCATGATTCCAAACCAAATTTGCAGCGCCATAGCCTGTACGGACGAAAAAGAGCTGGGTCGCAAGTGTAAACGGACGAAAAACTCTGTTAACACACGTCCAGCCACTTCCTCATTTTTGGGCACATTAGGATAGTGCTTTACTGGGAAGTTGGGAAGTTGCAACCATTTTTGTTGTTATAAATATCAGAAAATACCAAAAAGGCTCAAGTTGGTAGAGCCGCCCAAACATACTGGGTTCTTGTGTCCTGTTTAGTTTCCTTTTGCTTATTCCTTCAGAATTTCAGTGAATGCACACAAGCTGTTTGTGTATTTGCTTAGCCAAATTCCTGAGTGTTATTTGAAAGTTTTTCTGTGGTGTAATCTCATTTCTTTTAAGCCAAAAAATAGCGAGTCTTTGGCTCTATTGCGAATGATGCAACTGTGTGCATGAAAGTGTATAGTTCAGAATCTAAGATACTAGTATAATTTTGCTGCTGAGTATTTTCATGGACAAGCTCTTCAAGTTACTGATAAGTTGAATTTCAATTAATGCAGAAACTGTGGCTGGTTAGTAGTGCCAATTGATGCAGAACCCATGTCGCTTGATGAGAAGATAGCCTCACCTCATAGGATCTCACATGAATCACCCGTGAGCTGTTCAACAATACTACAGCGCCACCGGTTCCTCCTGATCGCCATGGGCTTGCTGACTTTCATCTGCATCGTGTATCTCTACTTTGCTGTCACCTTAGGATCTGATGACTCCTGCTCTGGGCTGACTGCTACTGAAAAGGCAGCTTCTCTTTTTGAGCGCAGCGGAGCTTCTCTGGCGGCAAAAGAAAAATTGTAGCTTTAGCATTACTACTAGTATTCTACCCGTGCGATGCACGGGAAATAATCATATGGAACAATATATGGCACAACATAAAAATTAAATATTTAAAACACTAAATTAATATATAAATTAACTTTAGATGTATATAGTATAGCGACCTCCTGTAATATTACCAATATAAATATATAAATGAAAACAACATTTCTTTAAAATTTAAGAATAATAACAATTTCAAAACAAAATGTTTTACAAATTTCGGAATACTTCCTTAAATACAACATTAGTTGTTAAATTGGTACTTTTCCCTTCTGCATCACATATAGCTATTTTCAAACCTGCGGGATTAGTGACACGTGAAAGCGCAACATATAACTGACCATGACTAAAAACCGATTTTTTCAAAATTAATCCAACATTGGACAATGATTGTCCTTGACTCTTATTTATTGTCATAGCGTATGAGACAATCAAAGGAAATTGTCTTCTTTCAAACTTGAAAGGCAACCTCACATGTGAGATGAATCTAATCAAGCAATGCATGTCTAAATAACTGTACACCTTACATAAGAATGTTAATAATTTTATTTGATTTCAAAAAACAACTATAATCAAATGCTAATTCGATATGAAAAAAAAATAGTATTTGTCAAATTTTCTACATATATTTTTAAGTATTTATGTAATTTGAAATTTAAAATAACAATAGGTAAAAATATATGTTCATTTGAGTTCGAAACAATATAATACATCAAAAAATTCAAAATAAAGAGCCATACTATTTGAAAATAAATATTATTGTTGAATTTTGAAAAATATGAGTTAATTTTTATGTGTTATCTTATAAGCCAAAGTTTTTAAAACATTTTCATTATCTTAATCTTAACATCATAAAAGATTTGTATAAACAAAATTTGCTATATATATCTAGAGGCCGTTTGGTAACATCATTTTTCGGCTTATCAGGCTTATCAGCCAGCTTTTTCACCAAACACGTAACTTTTACTTTCGCGCGCTGAGTTGTGTAATAACCGGAAAAAGTAAGGTTGGAGTTACTTTTCTGACTATATTGGCTGAAGTTACTGTAGATGACCATTTTAGCTATTTTTACATATAATTTTTTCTTTACCTTATTAATAAAATATATTTTAAAAATAATTATTACTTAAATCAGCAGAAACAGCCAAAGCAGTCACTTCAGCCAGAACTTCATAAATTTCAGCAGAATCAGCCAAAACAGACGATTTTCGTGCTACCAAACGGGTTCCTAATATATAAATCCAGATCTGAATCAGTCCAGATCCTAATCCAACAACCTAAAACATGGTCCAGTCCGATCCAAGCCCAACATCCGGACCCAATTTCCCAAAAATAAGTCCTAAGCACTAAACCTATAGACCCAATACCCGATCCCCAAATACAGACTCCCCAATTCCCATTCCTCCATCATTCTTATTCAATGCTAACTCCACAAACCCACCCCGATCTACAACCCAATCACGAACACAGCAATCGAAAGACGCCGCTAAAGCTACACAGAACTTCGCCTCGACCGATCATAGTTTTCGAGCTCTCAGGCGGCTTCTATGTTGGCCGATCATGCGGCTCTAGATAAGCCAAGTGTTTTTTCTTACTAATTGTAAACTACACCAATAAGATTCTCTTATATGAATGCATTTTAATCTCTAATCTGTTTTACTTAAAAATGATGTTATTGTTAGTATACTATGCATGGTAATCTGTATATCCCACATTAATTAAGTCAACCTCTAATAGGAACAATCTTATACGTTTTTTAAATAAGAAGTGAAATGTTCAACATTTAGCCTGGATCTGGTTTTTGTCCTGTATATATAGATTTTAGTGCTTTTTCAAAAATCCACATCTGAATCACTCCAGATCTTACGATGTACATTATTTTTTTCTAATTTATTATCAATTAGCTTCAAAATACAAAATCATTTTCAATCAATAGTAACAACATTCTGCACTATACTTAATGTCCTTTTGTGTACCGACTTTGATATGAAATTTATGCCTAATATAAATGTTACATAGGATCAACACATTCTAATATATACACACACAATTGCATATACAATTTTGAAACTTGTTACATGCTTAATACAACAGCAGCAGGTCAATAGGTCAATTTACATATACAACTTTAAAATAATAATTGTGAAATTACGTAGTCTGACATATGGTAAACTATGGTTGTTAACTCTATCATACTTTACCTTTATCATGGATGATATGTACACCTCTTTTTCTTCTATATTGTTCACACTCCGTAAGTTTCACCATTTTATTTTATTTTCTAGCAGGCCTGCAAAATGGTGGAGCTCACCAATGTGTACAATAAACAGGATTTATTGTATAAATTAAATTTGATTTTATGAAATATATCATTTTCTCTGCGTAACCTATATTTTATTTCAATTCTAAGAAAATTTATGGAACTACTTGAGAAGAGAACTGATTCTTTATATCCTTTAAATGAAAACAATATAACTGGAAACAATTTAATTAAGTAATAAGCTATTTCAATGTTTCTTAGTAGTTATGCAAACGTATGTGCCTAATTAATATATGCTAACTAATGCAGCTAATTAACATCTGCAAATTTATGCAGGTTCTGAAGATTTGCAAACAAATGCAGGTACTTAAGGTATACACTTCTGCTCTGATGCAAACTGAGTTTTTTTTTTCTGTTTCAATACAATTCCAGCACAACTATTTAACTAAACAATAAAGCAACTACTATATCTATACATGCAAATCTATACTTCTAAGCAGATAGTTCTGCCAAGGTGTTCTACTGAAATTGTAAACTAAAAATGTGCCTTAAACCTTTTGTTTCAATAATGCCAACCTATTACATATCTTAAGACATAAACTGCGAAAATATGGAGTAACTACTAAACATCTTCATTTTTTTAGCCAAAAAAAACACATTGATACTTTGACATCACTTTTTCAAGTACTTCTTATTTTTCTTTACAATTCCAGCAGAACGCCTTGGCAGCATACCATTAGTTTCAAGCATGGTAACTCATTATTTGAGTCAAAAAAATTCCAACTAAAATTTTGCACTTGCTTACCTGCTTCATACACAATTAAACGCTTTTGTTGCCCCCGCACAATACACATTCCCACCTTTCAAAATGGGTACTTGTAGGGAGTAGAAATGTAGGGAGTAGAATAAGGTTTTGTGGGCTCTGAAATGTGTGGTATATATATAGAGGCTTTTGGTTTAAATGACCAAAGTAATTTAATGAGCCATTTTTTTTGAGTCATAAAGTCCAAAGCACAGGAATTCCAAACATCTTTTGTTCATGCTGTCAAGTTTTTCGACTTCCTGTAACAAAATAAATGAGCCGCCGTACCTTCTTGCCCGGAATTTAAAAAGGCATATTTATATTGAAGAGCCTTACAAATTCCAAAAGGCCAAAATTTATTGTTTTTATTTTTTCAATAAACCGCTAAACCGTATCTATTCTGGTCTTTAGTTTAAACGAAAAAATCTTGTTTTACTTGCGGTTTTTTTTCAATAAACAACTGAATTGTATATATATGTGTGCTTTTGTTGATGGTGTCAAGTATTTCTAGATCCTATATATAAATTGTATATATACGTGTGCTTTTATATATCTGGCTGCTAATTCCAAAAGGCGTATTTAATTTATTTAAAAAATTCCAAAATGCACATTTTTTTCCAATCCTATACTATATTGTAACTACAGTTTTTTCAATTGACATTTTTTAACGTTATTATTATTAATTTTATATTCTAGAAAAATGTTATTTTGAAATTCAAGAACCTTATAATTCTGCCATTTCCCCTAATTAAATCTTTTTTTCAATACGCGGTTCAATGCATTGAGACATTTCAAATTAACTATTATTAAGGTCCCTCAATCATTAAAACCGAAGGAATTCCAAAAGGTCCATTGATAAGACATGTTAAACATTTATTGATGTTAAATTATCATTAAGCACATTTTTATGCAACTTACGATAACACTTTAAAGCTGGCTCTTGTAGAGCAATAAATAAGTTGCTACTCCTTTGAAGTTCGAAAATGCATTTCACTTTTGTAACACGTATAGAAATTTCCAAAAGCACTTTTTTTAACCATTAATGAATCTTGTTTTTTCCCCTGGTCACATTATTTTAAAACTTCCACAACTTGTTTTTGTTAATTTTTCCATTAATGAATCATTTTTTTAACGCACAAAAAAATATCTAATATAACACGTTTAGGAATTTCAAAAAGAACTTTTCTTTTTCTTTTTACATATCAATATTTGAAAAGGCCTTTTAATATCTATCACGTTTATATTTATTAATTGCTCTTATCAACACAAAAACTTCCCAGCTAAAAGAAAGCACCAAACTGCTCAAGAAAGGTTCTTTTTATAAAACATATAATTATTTTCAGCAAGTACAATAGTTGCAACCTAAACCACATATTGTCAACCTCATTCCCTATGAACTGAAGTGATGACTGGGGGCTTATTTCATATTGGGCCTAGAGTGATGCCAAGTTCCATATTTATAGTGGAAATAAATATTACACCACACGATTAAGAAGTCCAAAAGGCACATCATAGGATGTGCATCGATGCATTTTTATTTGTATAAAAATATACTCCGTACAAAGTATAGAAATAAATGAATATTTATTACAACATGGGTGATTGCAATGGGCAGCATGTGGCTTTTCATGGGTACTCCGTACCTTTTCATTACAAAAGTACTCCGTATTTGGGGAACACCACCACCAATCCACACATATATCCATATTTAATTTAATTGCATTAATTACTTTTTGTTTTCACTCATTGTTCATACACTGAGTGTTCACACTTCCCGCCCAAACTCCCTCCCACACTTTTCTGTTTTACTATATAATATAGATTATATTTGAGTATTTGTATTAGCTAATAAAAGGTTGTCAACTCATAGTATTTGTAATATTAAATAAAATCTTATAATTATCAATGGGGGTTAGAACAATTTAGGGATGAAAAAAATGTTGGCGTAACTGAGTAGCTTCATGAGGTGGTACATTATGGTTTAGCATTTGTACTATATTCTCTTCAATAAAGCATTTTTACTTTATTAAATAAACCTTTTTTTTCGTTTTATTTCCGTCCAATCCCTCACATCCGCTCCGTTATGTTCCATACGCCTATTGTTAGGTT